CCTGAGATAATTTCTGCACTGGCAGACATGGAAAGAGATAAAATAGTGGAGAGCTAAGATCTAAATCTCTTCTGTACAAATGCTAGGAGCATATGTAATAGGATTGTTGGAGTTACATGTTTTCAAGGATAAGTACTGTATGATGATACCACACTGTTACAGCCATTCTAAAAACAGAAAATAGGACTGGGGATTTACAGTAGTTGTTGGGGATGCTTGGGTTTCCCTAGGACCTTTTGGAATAATGGAAGAGAAGAAAAGGCCTTTGCAGATAAGACAAAATGAATCCCTAAGGAAGCTGGAGCTGTTCTTGCGGGGAGTCTTGGAAGGAGAAAACAGGAGTGCTCTGATCTCAGTCTAGTCAGGTATCACAGATTTTTCTTACACAAAATACAAAAGGAACTTTGTAGACCTTCTAGCCAAACTTTAGTTAATTTACATAGAAAAGTTCCATCTCTTTAAAAAGCATTTTCATTTTTTCTTCTGTGGACCTTTCGAGAGACACATTAAAAACTGCATCTCAACTTCTATGTTAAATACGTATTACTGATGCTGTGGTTTTAAGCAAGCTAAACTTAGATGATGTCAGAACTGAGATTGTCTGCCTAATCTTAACTTGTTCACTTTACATGTGAGCATTTTGATGCATTGTTTAATTACAGAACACCTCCTGCATTGTCTGCAGCACCTTTCCTTCCTGGCAGGGCTGGGAGCAGCAGCACAACATGAGGGGCTGCCTCCAACCCTGGTATTGTTGCAAGAGGGACTTGATGATGGGGAAGAAGGCAGGCTTCTTGTTGCTGTTACTTTCTAGTTTGGAAAATCTGGGGTCTGCTTCTCCTGGGGACTTGTTGGCTCAAATGGATAAAAGTCTGGGCTCAGTCTGGCTCATGGTCTGTGTGTCAGTCACTTGTTCTCTTCAGCCCCTATCCAGGTGAGGGAGAGAGATGCCCCATGTCAGAAGGAGCTGCTTTTGTGGCAGATGTCTGTGGTAGGGCAAGGCCTGGCTTCTGTGGAGCAGGAGAAGGATTTTGGCATGTGTGCTCGTGAGAGCCACCAGTGTTTGGTGTGACTGTGCCCAAGGAGCTGGTGTGCACTGAGCATGTGGCGACCGATGCTCTGTGAAGCTGCTGCCGACCTGAATGCTGGACTGAGGCCAGCGCAACCCTCTCCCTGGGGCTTTCCGCACCCCTCCGGAGGTGGTGGGAAATGGGGGAAGTGATGGCCCGGCCCTGGGTATCGATGCAGATTTTAATCAAGCAGAGCGACAGTTCTGCCTGTCATTAGGATTCATGCCAGCATGTTTTAAGACTTCCAAGCTGATATCCTTTGTGCATGTGTAGTAATGCAGATAAAATTTCCCACAAAGGTTGCTGAAGTACTGCTGGTCCTGCCCAAACTCCTAATAGACACAGTCCTTCTCCTGCCAAGTCCTCCTTGCTTCACAGTGTGTGTGGGACATCCTATTTTTAGCTGAGTTTCTGTCTGTTTACAAGGAAAGCATTTCTTTATTGAAAACCTGGCTGGGCTGAGGGAAAGCAACAACCAACACAAAATAAACAAGGCTTTTTGGTAGATGGCTGAATAACTTTGTCCTGGGCCAGCAATCAGCAGGAGCTTCTCTTAGCTGACGTAAAGATGGATCAGGACATGGGTTGAATATTCGAAGCTGCTGCCTAATGACTGATGAGAATTACGCTCCAGTCTCTGATCCAACCTTGCCTTCTTTTGCCCTGGGTGGCATGGTGGCAGGCAGGCTGCGATGAGAAGCCTGCCAGCTTTATTTCTAGTTCAGTTGAATGGATTGCTACGGTTTCTTGCTTTTTGTTGTGGTTGCTAATCCTGCAGGCAAGCTGTTTGTTCTTGTGTGTTCTCAGCATTTGTTTTTCATAGAGCTGTATCATCAATGAATGGTTTGGGTCGGAACGGACTCTAAAGATCATCCAGTTCCACTCCCCCTGCCATGGGATGGGACACCTTTCACTAGAACAGGTTAATCAAAACCCTGTCCAATCTGGCCTTGAACACTGCCAGGGATAGGGCAGCCACAGCTTCCCTGGGCAACCTATTCCAATATCTCACCACCCTTACAGGGTCGAACTCCTTCCTCATATCTAACCTAAATCTCCTCTCTTTCAGTTTAAAGCCATTACCCCTTGTCCAGTCATTACATGTTCTTGTAAAAAAAGATTTCTTGTAGGCCCCTTTAGGTACTGGAAGCTGCCATAATATCTCCCCAGAGCCTTCTTTTATCCAGGCTGAACAAGCCCAACTCCCTTAGCCTGTCTTCATAGGAGAGGTGCTCCAGTCCTCCCATCATCTTCATGGGCCTCCTCTGGACTCATTCCAACAGCTCTATGTCCCTCTTGTGTGGGAGGCCCCAGATCCGAATGCAGTGCTGCAGGTGGTGTGTCATAAGAGCAGAGTAAAGGGGGAGAATCATCTCCCTCGACCTGCTGGTCATGCTTCTTTTGATGGAGCCCAGGATTGGCTTTCTGGGCTATAAGTGCACACTGCTGGCTCATATTGAGCTTTTCATCAACTAACACTCTCAAGTCCTTCTCATCAAGGCTGCTCTCAATCCAGTCTTTGCCCAGCCTATAGTTGTGCTTGGGATTGCCCTGACCCTGGTGTAGGTCCTTGCACGTGGCCTTATTGAGCTTCATGAGGCTGCCATTGGCCCACCTCTCCAGCCAGTCCAGGTCCCTCAGGATGGCATCCCTTCCCTCTAGCTTGTTGACCAAACCACATAGCTTGGTGTCATCAGCAAACTGGCTGAGAGAGCACTCAATCCCACTATCCATTGACAAAGATGTTAAGCAGCACCAGTCCTAACACTGACCCCTAAGGAATACCGCTGAGGACAGGAATACACTGTTCTCTACTTGAACATTGAGCTGTTGACCACAACTCTCTGCGACCATCCAGCCAATTCCATATCCACCAAGTGGTCCATCCATCAAATCCATGCTTCCCCAGTTTAGAGACAAGGATGCTGTGTGGACAGTGTTAAATGCCTTGCACAAGTCCAGGCAGATAACATCAGTTGCTTTTCTTTTCTCTGCCAATGCTGTAACCCCATCAGAAAGCTACCAGATCTGTGAGGCACAATCTTGCCCTTAGCGAAGCCATGTTGGCTGTCACCAATCGCCCCCTTTTTGTCCATGTGCCTTACCACTGTTTCCATGAGGATCTGCTCCATGATCTTGCCAGGCACTGAGGTGGGTCTTCCTTTTTTTCCCTTTTAAAAATGGAGGGAAAAGTTCCCTCTTCCTGTAAGTGGGAACTTCACCAGACTGCCACAACTTCTCAAATATGATGGACAGTGGCTTGGCCACTTCATCTGCCAGTTTCTTCAGGACCCACAGATGCATCCTATCAGGTCCCATGGACTTGTGCACCTTCAGGTTCCTTAGATGGTCTCCAACCTGATCTTCTCCTACAGCAGGCAAGTCTTTATTTTCCCAGTCCTTGCCTTTGCCTTCTGAAATTTGGTGTGACTAGAGCACTTGCCAGTGAAAACCAAGACAAAATGATCATTGAGTAACTCAGCCTTCTCCATGTCCTGGGTGATCAGGTCTCCCCTTCCCTTCTGGACAGGGTTCATATTTTCTGAGCAACTCTGAGCTGTTGCATGGGGCAATGCAGCACAATTCAGGCCGTTTGCTCTTGGCAGCTCCTCTTCTTTTTTTCTCCTGCATTGCTTTTTTGACCATTGCTGGTATATTGTCAACTAGTGAAAGGCCATTCACATTGAATTATGGATGCGTAAAACAGTGGCGGGCTTTTAATTGGGCAGCTATTCAGAAAGCAGGTGCTTCCTCTCAGGGTTTAAGTTACCAAATTCATCAGGGCATTTCAACTTCTTGCATTTTAAATTCCCTGATCCTAAAGAACAAAGTCATTTTCTCAGCTTTGGAGGGTGACATCTGCTTACAAGGATTAAGTGTGTTCCTGCAGCAGCGAGCACAGATACTGTTTGTGAAAGGGTATACATTGAAGAGAGTATTAAACCCTGGTACAGGTTCCTGGACTGGAATGGAAGTTGCTTTGCAGGTTTGGAGGGAGGCACGTTGGAGCTTGCTTATTTCTTTGGCAGATGTCTGATGATGTTACATCATCTGCAGCACTTAGAGCCTGCAAGAGTTCTGAAAGGCCTCAGTGCATTGTGGTGGGTCGAAAGGCAACAGGAAGTTCTCTTCTTCCTTTTTCTTTTTATTGTGGGCAAACAACCATTTGAAATAATGAGCCATCAGCAAACTCTCTCCCTCCCACAAACCCATGTTTTCAGGTGATGTGAAGACAGTTGGTCAGGAAGGAGGGCCATAGAAAATCTCAGTTGGATTGTTCTCAGGGTGTCATTAATCGACTCACGTTTCCAATCTCTGAACAGCATGCAGTAGTGATATTTGCTGGGGACGTGTGACCTTTTGTTGCTTTAGTTGGATGGGCATTCTAGAGATTTAGTTTTTAAAAGCATTCTGTTCTACTGTCTTAAAACCTGTTTATCGTTTTGCAAGACCCAGACTAAACCAAATTTGGCCCCCAAGCATAATTCTGCTGACAGCATGCAACTGGGAGCCAAGCTTTTCATAAAATTTAAGATCAATAGAAATGGTACAATTAGCTAAGCCCAAGTCCAATGGAAAGAGTTGCTTTTAAACAAATAAATGTTCCCTGCAGGACTGGCAGCCCCAGATAATGCAGCCCAGAGTGCCTGGAGCTGACCAACTGCAAACCAAAGGGAAACTGACTTAATTGGGTTTTGTGGCTCTGGCAAGATATAAACAGCAACAACTAGTGAGAAGCAAGTTGGATTTGAATTGTTTTCTCTCTACATTAATAGGTCGAGGTGACGTTAGTAATAAAAATCTGGCCAGCTCTTTGGCTGCCAGTTTGGCAGAGGGCTGTTGCAGGTAATGAGGGTCATGCAGATTAACACCAGCTTGCATCTGGCTTGATGTTGAAGTTGACCTGTTAATCTTTCTGTTCCATTCCAGAAGCTACGAGGGACAACAAATGCTTTCCTACCTTCCTACTTACTTCTGTAACGCCCTCATGTGAGTAACAACCATCACAGTTTTGGTAAAGACTTTTATTGTTGTATCTGTTTGCAGTTCCTGCCCACCCTCCTCCTGCTCTGCTTACTTGTCCTTTCCTTTCTCTGTCCTAGGGCAATGCTCCATTCCCTGCAGAAGAGAACGAATGGTCTCTTAGAAATAAAAATGTTTAAGGCTTCTTTGAAGCACACAATGTAATACATAGTGAAATGTTTATCTGAAAAACTGGGTCAGCAGCTGCACGTTTTATCAAAGAAAGTATATTCAGAAATGTTTATAGAAACATGACAGCACTAAATCTGGGTAGTTGGTCACTAATCTTTGCAAAGATACAAAACTGATTACATAAAAAAAAAATCCCCTCAGGCACCCTGTTACTTATAGGGTATGTATGACCCAGGCTTTGAAAGACTCCTTTCCTGCCCTTATTCTTCTTCACACTTTGCCATGTGGTCACTCCAAATCACTGCCAGCTGGCCTGTTTGTCATGTGTGTTTGTTTGTGCTGCTTCTAATTTTTGCCCTTTCGAAGAGACAGACAAAATCTGTGGTTTATGCAAATCTTTGAATTTGCAGCCAGTCTAATAGGGGGAAGGAAAAATACAGGGAGTTTAAACAGCAGAAGGGAACGGATTCTGTTCTTTAGTGCCTCACTATTGACCACAGAACCTAGCATACCTATAAATGAGTTGAAGTCTTGCCTGTTGTGTTTGAGGTTTTCTCACCTCCATGTGGCCTTCTACCCTTATTTCAGACATCAGGTTAGGTTCCTTCTGATGTGTTTTCAGCTTGACGAATATGGTTTGTTCTGTTTGTTCCAGGGTCAGTTGTTTTGTGTTGGTTTTTTTCAACTGAGTGGTTTTGTAGTGTGCTACCTTAATAGAGACGAAAACAGAACCAAAAAAATGGATTGTAAAACATGTCAGTGCTGTAGAGAAAGAAGGATGAAACTGGAAGAGTGATATATCATCAAACTGAATGCACCAGTGTGCGAGTATGTGGCAGCATAGTCAGTTTGCAGAAAATGATAGTGAATTTGGGTGATATTTCCAGTTTCCCTAGAGTGAAAGCACATACAGTTTACAATGGATAATGAAATGTTATGGGTTTTATGTCTAATATGTTAATTCTGCCAGTGCAGTAATCCCGAGGTTCCAATCCACTACAAGGCTGACATTTATGTAATAGAGAATCAGAGATATTTACTGAGAATATAGACTGAGAGTGCATTTTAAAAAGAAAGAGAGAAAAATGTGAAAGGTCTGCACTCTCTTCCCTTCTCTCCCATTCCATTGTATCAGATATTGACTAATGTCAATAGGAGCTGTCGCTCCTTTGATAGCAGACCCAAAAGTTAATTCTTCTTTTTTTTGTGTGTGTGCAGGGGAAGAGGAATATCATCTGTGATGTTTTTGTGCTGGTATATGGCTTGGGTTTTGCAAGAGCAAGTCTTCAACACTTCCAGCTTGGGGCATCGTGGCTTGTCACACAACTGTATTGCCAGGGTGGTTTTGAATCAGACCAAGGTACTGATCCAGTACATAGCCTGTGTATTGCTCACTCAGTTTACTGTAAGCCAGCCCCCTTTCCTTTCTGTGCTTCACCTGCCGAGTGGTAGAGGCATGGCTCTGAGCTTGAGCTATCCTTTTCATCAGGGCCATGTGTTCCTCCTCTCCTCCTTGCAGTGGCACTGGTGCTTTCCTCATTGCAAGTTCAGGGTGCCAAAATGGCTAGAAAATATGAATGTGGGGTTTTTGGCAGCTGTGTTTTGTGAATCAGGATGCTAAAAGAGGGCTGGTGGCTGATTGGAGGTGGAAACGCATAGGCAGGACACGGCAACCCTGATGTGCAGTAGTTTAAGTGGGGCAAGGAGGAGCAGGGATAGAGGCAATGTTGGCCCAGGATGCTGTTGGCCAACTTAGTGCCTGTTCGAATAAAGATGTGTCACCATTCATACCTCTAAGCTTGACGATCAGCTTTTGGCAGATACTGGAGCTCTGGTTAAAACCAAGGGTGAGTTTAATGTGTCTGAAGTCAGTCCTGTGGCTAAGTCTTTTGCTGAGGAATGACGGGCTGTTTCCAGGGCTGACTGAAAGGCTTTGCTGCATGTTGCTTAATGAGAGCAAAAAGAAGAAGTGGAGGTCGTGGACAATCTATGGAACACAGCTTCAACAGCATTTCCTATTGTGCAGAGCCACTTTTTCCTTAGATCATCAGCGATGCCACTTGGAAGCTTTGACATAGAGGGGAAAACCTCTCTTGCAGACTGGTGCTTCCTACCACCATCTGCAGTCTCACCTTGCCAATGCTTTAGGACGATTTATTCTGATGCTGAGAAGCCAACCACTTCCCAGTGCTTTAGGACTCTGCTGAAACTTGATTGAAGAGAGGGACAGTTTAATGAAACATTCTGCAAAGCTCAGACCTCTCCACAATATGCTTTGGACCAGTCCCTCCTGATTCTCCTGGTGTTACCTGGAGGTCTCAAGCACTGAGCCTATCACAAGCCCCTCCTGCATGTGAGGGGTTGCTACTTGTTCTGTGGCACTCACATCCTCTGCCTTCCTCTAACACGAGTGTCTCTGTGAGTGCTTTAGCACATCCTGCTTCTGAACTGTGCATCTGCCTGCAGTGAGTAATTTCTCAAGTGTTGTTACTGTGTAAATGTGCAATGACTAGGTCTGCCCCTCCATTTCCCTGTTCTGGAGCATGGACAGCTGTCGCTCCCTGCTCTTTGGTCTCTGTCTTTCTGCATCATTTGACTGTGTCATTTTTGAGGAGGTTTGAGGAGAAAGGAGGTGTCTCGGAACGTGCTTAAGTCTCTTATGGCCTCAATAAGCCATGTCATTAGGATTCTTCATTCTAAACCCCAGTCACAGAGGGATATCCTTGATTATCCTTCCTTCCCTGCTATGGGGTTGTGCTTTCTTTGCTGTGGATTTCAGAGCTTCTTTACCTGTGTCCTGCAAAATGATGTCCCAGGAGATACCTGCCTTAAGGACCAGCCAGACATCCATGGTTAGAGTGGGGTGAAGAGTGAAGAAGATGAGGCGACTCCCTGCAGAAGCTCTGGATCACTTGTGCTGTAGGATCATCTAATGTGAAGAGTGCAGGAGACCTGAAGCCTTCTTTGGTTTTTATTCTGCTTTTGCAGGAGTCTCTCCAGGATTTCCATCTGATTGATGTAGGAGGCTCCCTTCTCCTGCAGCCAACCATGTCATTAGAATGGGTGGGGGGATTGATGCTCACACTGTCTGTGCTGGCCTAGCTTCAGCTGGCCTGACCTAAGCTGGCCTTCAGACAGCTCAGCTGGTTTCTGCAGAACCCCAAGATGTGGAACATGGTCATTTAAGTTTGAAGAGTTCCCTTATCTCCTGAGTGTGGCTACAGTGGGGGAAGTTATAAAAGCAATTTCTTCAAGTTATGGAGTGCAGCATTCCTACCATACTTAAGCATTCAGTCTCTGATTAGTGGTTTTGTGCAATTAATGCATCTGATGAAACTGAACTATTTCATTGGTCTACAGCATATCTCTCCGCCATTGCCCTATTTACTGCCATTAATACATAGCCATTGTTGGTTATACCATGCAGCTATCCCTCTGTGTATTGATCATAGGGTTTCTTCTGTATGCATAGGAATAGAATAGGGGAGAAATAACTTTGATCACATGGACTTAGGCAGAGAAGGGTCTGCCCTGATATACTGATATCTCTTAGAGCTTCTTACAGTTGGAACAGTGACAGCAGGCAGCATTGTAGTATGCCTCCCAAATGTTGTGTTTAATCACAAATCAGGCTTTAATGTTCAAGTAACAGATGAATACTGAAAAGCTTCATAAGAAATAAAAGGAACAGGAAGGACTTTAAAAGAGGGAAAGTACAGATGTGGAAAATTAATCAGCAATTCTAGAACTATCATGATCTTCAGAGTACATACAAGGCTTTTGACAGTAAAAGAGACCAGGTCTCTGCCCTTGAGCAGTTAATCTGTGTTTGAGCTGTTTGTTTTAGGGATCACTCAGAGAAATTATGCATCTCTGAGTGTTCAGAACCACATTTGTGCAGGTATAAAGGCAATGGCAGTAGAAGCTTTAGGCTCAGGTCAGACCTTAATGCAGGTCTTCCAAAGGTGAGCCTGTAACACCGTGAATGTGTACCAAGTTATGTATTGTCTCTCAGTATTGCCACTGGTTTGCAAATATTCGGGAATGGGCTCATTGGGTATCACGAACCATGTATTCTTTGCCTGCTTTGTCTGTAATGAGCTGTGGCCTTCTTCCAAATAGTGATTTAGAACAACATTTAGAGACACTTTATTTTCCTCTAAATTTACTGGTGTCAAAGATTTCAGACTGCAGTTCAGAGAAGACACTGCCAGTTGCTTCATACTTTCCTCCTGCTCTTGGTCTGCATCTCCTTTCCTTGCCTGCTTACCATGAAAAAGAGCCAGCTTTTAAACAGCATTTCCTGGTCATGCTTCTCAGTTTCTTGTTCCCTTCATAAAGGGAGTCTGAATAATTTCCTGTAATTTTAACGCTTTTCAGAGCAAAATGCACCAGTGGCATTTCTCAGGACTGTCCTATCCTAGCACGCCTATGCCACACTTTGCTTTTGGCCTCCAAGCTATATTCAGAAATCCCTGAATTTGTTCAGTTGTAGGTTGTGAATGAGGTTGTAGATACAGGTGTGCTCTGCAGACTGCTATGGACTCACAGCATCCTGCTGCCACTGGGTAGTACTATAAGGCCCTGTTGGAAGTCAGTGGTTTTCAGGTTTGCTGGTGAAACCACTTCTATGAGTGCCTCTGCCATTTTGGCGCTTGCTGTCATATGGTTTAACAGAGACCTGTTTGTTTAAGTGTGTTTTCAGCTCTGCATGACTGAAAAGGCTTGGGGGTGCTGTCGTGGCCCTAAAGCTATGTTCCTAGGTTGGTAGGCACATATGGCAGACAGTGTGAAAGGAGGCAGGATTCAGCCATTGCAGTCATGGATATGGTTTGGCTGGATCAAACTATTCCATGAACAGTGAAGAGGCTGCAAGGCTGGTGGACCCAATGCTCATCTCCTCTTGATGTGGAGTTTTGCCTTCTCTGCCAGGCATGGTCTTGGGCATTTGATTGATAAGTGTTTGGAGACTGTCCCTGAGGCTGGGGTCAATGCATAAGAGTCTCTCGGGTGTGAAGGGATGTGTGGGGGTCTCCAGTCCAGCCCCTTGCCCAAAGCAGGGCCAGTTCTGGATCAGACTAGGGTGCTCAGGGCTTTTTGCCTTGTTCTTGGAAACCTCCAAGGATGGAGCCTGCACAGCCTCACTGGAAAACGTGATCCCACTTCACTTTTCACCTTGAGCATCTTCATGGTGAAGATCTCCATATATCCTGACAGAACTGCTGGTGATTCACTTTGTGTTACACAGTGTACCCAGACTTGGCATGGGCACAACCAATATCGATGCTTGACAGAGACCGTAGATGATACAAACTATGCCTTGAAATTAAAGGATTGTTCATTGTGAGGAGCACATCATAGGCAAAAGTAGATGGAAATATAGATGGAATATGAGAAGCTGTGTTACGGCAGTGAACGAGTGGAGTATAAGCAGGAAAAGTAGAACACCAGCATATATTTTCTGTAAAATCTTTCAATTAAATAACTCTATGAGTGTTTTTAAAAGGGAAAAAAGAAATCTGGCTAGAACAAGTTAATGGAAAAGGAGAAGAAGGGAAAGCACTGAGATACAAAACAGACATCCCTATCTCCTTAAGTCTCTGTGAGACCTCCAGGGGATGGCAAGTCCAGTTGTGCCAGCCCTCTCTGC